ATTTTGATCGTCTAACTATTGTGCCGCTCCAAGAAGATTCGGCGGCTGCCGAAAGACACGGACCTGGGCCGGTGGAGGCTGCAGATGGGATGGCGGCTCCAAGAAGCATCGCGGCTGCAGATGGGATGGGACCAAGAAAGACACGGCCCCGGTCGGTGGAGGCTGCGGGCAGCTCAAGTAAGATGCAGGCTGGAAGCAAGATGCAGAATGGAAGCAGGCTGGGGAGCTGCAGGTAAGAAGAGCAGCATGTGTGCAGGGAAAGGGACCCTCCACAGCCCATAATAGATCATGCACAGCCCACCTTAAAGTCTCTGTGCAAGGTCTATGGTGGGCTCTGGGGGGTCTCTGGTGGGGTTTGCAGGAACTCAGATGGGCACTGCAAGGTCTATGGTGGTCTCAGCCTGACATCCTGCAGTGCCCACCAGAGATCCTTTACAGCCCACTTGAGACCCCGGCTTCCCTGCAACACTAAGGCCTCATTCACACTGCTTAAGGCTGTGAACACTGCACGCGAAGCAGCGTGGAGCGGTGGCGCGCTGCCTTCGCGAACAGTGTGTCATGTAATTTTCTCCTCGGCACCTCAGCTTGCGAGAGCTCGCGTAGCTGAGCGTGCCGAGATGAAATATTTAATCTTCAGCCAATCGGCTTGCACGTATAAACCGGCGTGTTGCGATGCGACGTCTGGCTGGTTGTTATTACAGGAGCCGATTGGCTGAAGGTGCAGTCAATCATGTGCCTGCACTCAGCTCACACACAGCACGCAAAACTCCGTGCCAGACAGCTTTGCTTCGCTCTGTGTCACGGCCTTCAGAGTTGGCCCATAAACATCCGTGCTGGTGCGGGTGTCCATGCTCGGACACAGATAGGATCCATCCTGTCTGTGTACGAGTACGGACATCCACACGGACGTGCAGTTCAGGTGAGCGTACAGCTGCGTCCTCCCATAGAGAAGAACAGGCTGCTGCGTACAAATCACACGCAGCACCTGTCCTTCCCGGAACGGCCCAATACGGTCGTGCACGTCCCACGGATCTGTACGGGCCGACTCTTAGCAGTGTGAATAAGGCCTAATAGCGCAATCTGTCAGACACTGTATCCAGCGACTTGAAAGAATACGCAAAATGTCTTGTTAGATGGGGGGGGGGGCCGAGTTTCGTTTTGCCTAGGGCAGCACGAAACCTAAATACACCACTGCAGACAATGCAGTGTGCTACTGCAAAAAAAATAAAAAGGCTCACAAATTATGTTATGTTATAAAACCATTTTGCCAATGGCCAATTTGTATAAAGTGTAAAAGGGTGTAAAGGGTATAAAGGGTATAAAGGGTTTTAGCATACAATTAGCTAAAAAAAAATAATAAAAAGGAAGAAATTAAAATCAGGCGTCTCAGACAAAACCATCTAAAAATACTTTATCTTGGGGGGGCGTGGCTTGGCGCATGGAGCGGTGAGACGTGTATCGGCTCGTCTCCCGCTCAGGGGCATATCATACTGCAGGCAGCAGCGGCTTTCTCCCCCACGATCACCGGCAATGAGCGACCGGAGGAAGAGGAGTAAGAAGCAGGCTAAGAAGGGGCCTGTGCCGCGGGAATTGACCCGATATTTCGCCCGGACGGCGCCCGCAGCCTCTCACGCTGCCTCCACACCTGCAGCCAAGATGGCGCCGCCGGAGTTATCTCCAGCACACTCGGACGCCCCACACATGGAAGAGGTGAGCCAGCCACAGGAGGGACACTCGCCCCAAAGCCCAGGGGGACTATCCCAACTTTATCTCGTCTAGAAATATTGTGAAAGTTAAATAATTTAAAAAAAACAATAAACACCACATAGCCAAGCCATGAGCTGTCAGGATACAATGTTGTTGTTTACGAAAACACCACATATAGCCTTAAAAAGGTAATTGAATAGCTTGTTTTTTTCCCCATTTTACTCCCAAAGTCACATAGAAAGAAAAATCCTCAGTCTGCTGTACATTTTTTTTGTATTATTTTTATTATTTTGGTACACAGCCCCTATGGCATTGCCCATCTCCACATTCCCTTTGTTTGACAATCCTTTAAGCTTTGATAATGGCCAGAATTGAATTTTTGGCAGTCACTCATCCTACAGGGCAGGAAAGGATTATTTCTTGCACAGCAATAGGAGAAATTACAGGAAACATTCAGTTAAGAAGTCATAAGATTATACATTAAGTACATTTTTCTTTGAAGCGATGATTAAAATGTACAGTATTTGATATAAATTAACTGAGTATATCTGGGGGAGTGTACAACACTTACCCAGTTCAACATAATAGTCTGAATGAAGCCACTTTGGAATTCCAGTGTAAAACACATGGCTTTCCTATTGCAATGTCCCATTTGAGGCAAAGATGCAATTTACTTTCAAGACATGTTTTTATACAGGTTTACAACTAATTGTTGTACATGCTCCTGGAGCTCACATAGTGTAACTGAAGTTTGTGTCAGTAATACTTGTTCATATTACCAGTTCATGAAAAGCTAGGACTTCCAACAACATCAGCAAAACATAGGATACATATACCCAAAGAAGCAGAAGGCATGCAGTCTAGTGTCAGCATCTTCACTCCCCAGCATACTGCACATCTTCTTTGTAATCATCCCCATGCACCTGCTGCAGAACCCAGATTCCCAAAATATCCTAGGAGAATATGAGAGAGAGAGAGAGAGAGACGAAGAGGAGACTAGCACTCCTACAGGATTCTTGAAGGCTAGACGCTACGGAAGGAACAGCAGACCAATCAGCTAAGGAAGAAAGGAGTGGTGGGACTATAGCATAGCTCAAGGCACTGGTTAGTGTGCTGATCCAATAGCTTGAGCAATTTCAGAGTCACGAATGCACAAGTAGTATAAGGTGCCCATACACTGCACGATTCTCGTACGAGAATCACGGGAAATCCCGCGATTGTACAATAATCGTGCAGTGTATGGAAGGCGTTTCTAATGTACGGTTGCACGACTTTTGTATTTCGAGCATGTTGGAAAACCAGCCGAGAATCGTACGATTTTCGGCTGTTTTTTTAGCATAATCGAGAGATAACTGCCAAACGGGCCGTCGCACACTGCCTGTTCAGTATTGCAGTCGTCGGAAGCCCACGCCTCAGGGGGGGCAGGCTTGCGATAATCGCAAGTACGATCTGCCCATCTTGGACAGGCAGATCGTACTTGCGATCATCGCAAGCCCGCCAGTACGTTTTTTTTTAATTACTTTATTTTTGTCTTGCGAGGGTTGTAAAGTGTACGGGCACCTTTACCTACATACTACAAGCCAGCAACTCAAAGCATTGAGGACAAGAAGCCTGTAGTTTTTGTATTGGCAGCCAAACACATTTCTCAGTACAGGTTCTTTCATTTTGTTTAACCCATTCCCAACCATAATCTACAGGTGCTAGGACAGTGCTCATCT